CCCCTCCCTTCCTTCCTTCCTTCCTTCCTTCCTTCCTTCCTTCCTTCCTTCCTTCCTCCCATGCTGGGGATTAAACCCAGGACTACATTTGCAGGCCTTTTTGTTTGTTTTGAGGCAGTCTCACTAAGTTGCTAAGTTGCCCAGGCTGAGCTCAAAGTTGGGATCCTTCTGCGTTAGCTTCCTTAATACTGGGATTGACAGGTGTGTGGTACCATACCTACCTGTGTAGGTGAGTTTTGACTAGTTGTCATTTTAGGGGTTCTTGAAAGACACATAGAAGGTTCTTCTTTTTAGTTTTTGGAAGCCTAAAGGTAAGTTGTACAGGTGTGGGAGGTCAGTCATGGGAAGAAGAACCAGGCCAGAAGTTGGCCACCTTCTCATACTCACATAATAAATTTCTACCTTGCCATCATTAGAATTTAAACTCATTGGTTATGTTGACTATGAAAAGAAGTTATATTTATGTTTAAAAATTGGGCATTGTCTCTAACACTGAAAACTAGCTTAATTGCAGACAATTCCAAAATTATGACAGTATTGTCAGGTCAGATGAATGTGTTTTATTCACCTTTTGTCTGAGAAAGCTAGAGGCTTTAACTTTCTAACACATTAGCAGTTACAGGCCCTTTAATATTACTTTATATATTTTAAAACATATATATCCTTTGACAGACTTAGGAGGAATACATAATAGAAGTTTACAATTTTGTGCCCTGTTCTACTCCAGCCATCTTTCTCTTACTAATTCAGTTCGTGGGCAAGTGGTTGTTTACTTTTTCTCATGAGGACATTTCTCAAGATTTATATGATAGAAGAAAAGGTACTCCGTAGTTGTTAGGGAGATGCAAATTAAAACCACAGTGAGATACACTGTCCACCTGTTAGTATGGCTAATGTAAAATAACTTGACAATACTAAATGCTGGCGAAGATCACAAATGAGTAAAACTCAGACCTTGTTGGTAGGAATGCCAAATGGCTCAGCAACTTTGGAACACACTTTGGCAGTTCTTATTAAGTTAAACATATTCTTACCATATAAATCAGCTGTCCCACTCATAGCTGTTTACTCAAGAGAAATGAAAGTTTCTGTCTGTATGAAAATCTATACATGAACCTTTATAGTGATTTTGTTCATAATTGCCCAAACCTGGAAACAACCCAGATATCTATCATTTGATGAGCAGATAAACAAGCTGTGATACATCCATAGTCAGCATAAAAAGGAATGCATTATTGACATATGCAACAAGATAATGACTCAGATACTTATGATAAAAGAACGAAGCCAGACTCAAAAGACCATGTATTATGGTTTCATTTATATGCTGTGCAAGAGGCAAGAAATACAGGACAGAGGATAGATCAGTGTTGCCAGAAACTAGGAATGTGGGAGGGGACTTTAGGGGATGATGAAATATCTTATATCTTAATAGTCAAAGAGATTTCATGGCTGTTTGTATGTGTCAGAATTTGTAGAAAGTTCATAGAAAGGGACACCTAAAAAGGGGGCACCTGAAATTTTACTAGGTACAAATTATACCTCAGTAAACTTGACCAAAGTTTTATACAATAAGAAGAAAACTGTAGTTTTGAAAACTCCAAAAAGTAACATTATGGCCATAGATTTTTTTTTTTTGGTACCAGGAATTGAACTCATGACCTCATGCTTGCTTGGCAGGCACTGTGCCACTGAGCTATATACCTGGTCCAGCCATAGATTGTTGAAGCCAAAAGAAGCAAACTTTCCAAGGAGTTTTATCCATATGTCAGATGATGACCATGTGTATATGGAACACATGCCATCTCTTTGCCTCAGTGGTTGTTTCAGATGCTGTACTATGGTTTGGAAAATTCCTTGAACTTGCAGATTTGATTTCGCTGTCTATGAAAGAAACAACTTCTTTTTCTCCTTCTTCTCCTCCTTCTCCCCTTCTCTTCCTTCTCCTCCTTCTCCTTCTCCTCCTCCTTCTCCTCTTCTCCTCTTCCTTCTCCTCTTCCTTCTCCCCCTCCTCCTTCTCCTCTTTCTCCTCCTTCTCCTCCTTCTCCTCCTCCTTCTCTTCCTCCTTCTCCTCCTTCTTCTCCTTCCTCCTTTCCTTTCTCCTGCTTCTCCTCCTTCTCCTTCTCCTTCTTCTCCTTCTTCTGCTTCTTGCTCCTGCTCCTTCTTCTTTTTTGGTAGTGGGAATTGAACTCAGGATCTTGCACTTGCCAGGCAGGCGCTGTGCTACAGAGCTATATCCCCAGCTCCAAAAAAACACCTTCTGATTCTGATTCTGATTCTGTTTCTTTTTTTTTTTTTTTTTGTCTTTTTGAGACTCGCTATGCAGTTCAGGCTGGCCCTTGAGCTCACTTTGTAACCCATGCTGATCTCAGACACACAACGATCCTCTTGCCTCAGCCTCCTGAGTGCTGGGATTACAAGCACACACCACCACACCTGGCTCTGATTCTGTTTCTAAAAGACTCTAGAGAATTTATTGAAAGAGTTACTTTCTGGGCTTTCATCATTATAATCATGGGAATTGGCTTGTACTTTTTAGTAAGCCAACTTAGGGCACATTGGTAATTTAGAAATCTTTTAAGATGATGGTCTCTTCAGCTTCATGGAGTTTCCCAGTCCATATCTGCCCCAGTCAATGTTTGCATGAAAGTGAAAAGTACTGTGGAAGTAAGAGAGACTGAAGGGGATTAGAGGTGATGTGGTGATAATGGTGGGAATCACTTTGTAAGCACAGTGGTTAGGATGTTGAGGTGACAGTTGAATTGACTTGAAGAAGTCCAAGGGAGTATGCACATTGACGGTAAAGAGCATTTCAGGCAGAAAGCTGGAGACAGGACCTTGGACAGATGTGTCCCCTGTGAGGAGCAGCAAGGAGACCCTCATGGCTGGAGCAGCTGAGCAAGGAGAGTTGTGGCTGTTGAAGTCAGGAGGGTGGGCTGGTCATTAGGGCCTTTTAGGCCGTAATATGGTCTTTGCCTCATAGTCTCAGTAAAATGAAGGCCATAAAAGGATTGTTTTTTGTTTGTTTGTTTGTTTCCAGTGCTGGTATTCAACTCAGGGCTTTGTATATGCTAGGCAAGCACTCTACCGAGTTATACTCCCATTCCACTGAAGGACTTCAAATCAAGTAATGTGATTAGACATATTTTGAAGGGTCACTCTGGTTTCTGGTTTGAGAAGAAATTAGGGTGGCAAGGGTAACAACTGGGATACCTCTTAGGAGGCTTTCACAGAGTTAAGAAGTGAGGTTTAGCTTGGAACCAGATGGTGGCAGTGGTGATGAGAAATGGTTAGATTCTGGGTCTCTAATTTTAAAGATTAAGCTAGCAAGAGCTCCTGATGGCTGTGTTGTATAAGGGAAGGAGAAAAGACAGGAGTAATGCTGAGGGTTTTTTGACCCAAACAATTGGAAGGGTGGAAGGGTCATTAATTACGGGGTAAGCCTGTGGATTTGGAGGGCACACCAGGAATTAAGGGGTGGGAAAAAGTGAGTTTGAGGTACCCTTGACATTGCGATGGAGATGTCCAGTAGAGAGTGGATGTATGTGTGTGTCTACTTTAAGACACAGTGCTGGGCTGGGGATACAGTTTTGGGAGATGGGCAGAGACTAGATTTGATTGCAAGTGAATCTAAACAGGAGAGAAGCACTAGGACTGAGCCCTGAGGTACTTTAACACTAAGTGGTCTGAGAAGAGAAGAAGGGTAGAGCTGGAAAGCCAAGAGTGTAGAGTTCTGGAAGCCAACTGAAGGGAGTCTAGGGAGGAAAGGATGACCAACGTCTCCATTGGCAATGATAGATCGAAGAGGGAAAGATTAAGATTTGCCCAATAGTTAGAAAAGTTTGTGTGAACTCATTCTTAATATAGCCTTTCAGTGAAGTTTGTATTGTCTCCATAAATACCTGTATAAGCATGTACATTTATGTATGTACAAAATATTTTTAATACTGAATATTACAAGGGTAGGCAGTGAATGTTTAAATTTTTAAAAAATTTAATAAAAGACACATGGCTACAATACCCCTCAGAATACTCCCTCTTGCTTGTAGCACACTTATGCCATCATTCTTGCCACTTTCTGAAGCAGTTCTGGAAGTCCTCTTTCTTGAGTGTCTTTACCGGGGCTGATAAAAAATTAGTGAATGTTGCTGCCAGCTGCCATCTAAAGGAAATGCAGGCTCGTAGAAACATTGCAGTGCGTCTGCAACTACTTTATTCACTGGATCCGGCACTGTACAGCTTCCGGCTCTTCCCCAAAACCAGAATGATCATGAAAGGTGAATGTTTTGGATAGATTCGGGACATTGAGGTAGCCACAACAGCACAACTAACCAGTCATGAATTTTTATGTCGCACCACATATGTGGTAATCATTTTTCTAAGCACATGTCTTGTATTCATTTCGTCCTAATAACATCGCTGTGAGGTTTTGTTGTCATCCTCATTTTCCAAGAATTGGAGGGACAGAGAGGTAACATATGAAGTACACTGTGTGGGGCATGGGTTTATATCTAGGTAATTTGGACTCTCAGCCTCTGTCTTACTTAACCTCTGGACTCTACTACCTTTTTCTTATATAAACAAGTAGTCTAGCCTTGCAGCAGTGTAGCTATAACTAAAGGCTTAGGTCTGCTGATATCT